TATATATATATATATTATTGTGAGGTAACCCCTGTAATTAAAAAAAAAAAAAAGTGATTTCCAAATCAAGTTACCAATGATTGAAACCAGTACTGACAGAACACTTGGAAGTTCTGTAAAATAACAGATGCCCAGCTGAAAACCTGTCCTCTTTTTTTTTCAGCTGTTTTAGGTATCTTTCCTCACACTTTGTTCAAACTTTTTCATTTAGTGATTTCGGTGACTGTGATAACATCTTCCACTGTAAAAATAGAGAATGGGTGTGTAAATTTATAAGGTGATATACAAAACTGGATGTCTAGTATATTAAATCACTCAGTATATTCTAGTACCAAAACATATATTTAAAACTGATATTCACATGCTTTGCACATATGTATGATTTTACTTCAACCACCTTTAATCTTTTCATATGAAAGCAGTCAGTGTTTCTCATTAGTGTTTTTATCCCAGTCCAACTAAGGATTCTACATTTCTGCATTTATAGCAGTGGGGTTAGTCTGAAAATGCTCTACAAATGATTCTGACACACTACAAATTGTCCCCTGCCCTGGGGTCCACTCAATTCTGCAATTTTCTGAGGTTCTGCACAGTTCTAAGGTCTGCCACTTTAGACTGAGCAAAATCACAACCCAATGCCCTAGAAGGTATCTATCAGATTACTTTAATAAAAAGAAAGGCCAAGAGATAGTAATATGTATGTCATTTCTTGAAACATGCAAGATTCAAATAAGTATTTTTATATTGATGATGTCAAAAAGGGCTTCACATGTAAATATAAACTAAATACATTGGTTCAATCTGGTGATTAACAACTGCCCAATATGGTATTTATGAGTAGTGTCCATTCTCTTTGAATGTATCCTTCTTCTGACAAATAATACACTACTTAAAAGTCACAGTAAGTGCAAACTCACAACTAGGAAATAGAACTTTATAACTTCCATGGATAAATGTGTAATTAACTCAAAGGTGAGACAATATATCACAATTATTAAGTATACAAAGCATGGGAATGATGCTGATGAGGCCCTCAAAATTAGGATTGTTTTTAAGAAAAATGGGTAATTGCATTATCTTTGAATCAGAAAACATTAATCAACAAATACTGACTGTTACATGTTTTATATTAAGGGGATCTCTCCTTCAGGTGACACACACACACACAAATAAAAAACAGTGATCCACAGATTTAGTACATGAAACCCAAAATAAACACCTTGGCTGTGTGTGAAAGCTGCTGTCCTCTGTACCAAAAGATGCCACAGAGGTGACTGAGATACAATGTATACATGTCTCTCACTGTTGTATCCACTCACTACTTGAAGAAATTGATAACTTTCAGTGGGAATCCATTTTTTTGAGAAAACATGCTGTCTGCTGATGGCTTAACAAAGTTCTAAAGGCATTTCCCACTTAAAAAACAAATTCCCAAACTTTCCATCACGAACTATACTCTGTAAACCTAAAAAGAACTGACCAAAAGCCCACAAACTAACCAAAAGCCTATCAAGAAATCAAAGTGAACTGGTAGAAAAGTCCCCAATCCCAACATGTGAGATGTTCACATTTGCATCAGTAGCTATAAATATGCCAGAAGACAATTCCTTACAGAGTTGAGATGGGTAAGTATTTGTTGAATTAATAACATTTCTTCCTCATTCTAAACCCATGTGTCAAAGCATCATACAATTTTATTTATGGCAGCTTCTGTTGTATCTCCAACTTTACATATAAGTTTATCATGAGGGGTAAAAAAAAAAAAAACCTGTTTGGCTTGACTCACCATGAATCACAGCCAGGAGGTCATCTTGTGTATCAAGCAACTATGTTTTCACTACAGCTATGTGACCTGAAGTGGCAGTAGCAGCAGAGGCACCAAAATAGAAGGTGCAGGAGGCTTCTCAGCCCCAGTGGGCTTTTTCAGCCCTTGGGCAACTAAGGCAGATCCAACAGCAGAGAGAAAGAACAAACCCAGAGCTCGGAGGAGAAAAAGGCTGCAGGCCCACCACACCTTGCTTGCCTTCCTCGGGAACACCGGGAAGCATGAATATAAGAGGACGGAATTCAGAAACGTGTGGAAAAAACACAGCATGACAGGGCCAAAAACTAGCCCAGTGTAAGGCAAAAATCCAGTCGTGACCATGTAGTACAGATTTCGAGATCTGGAGACGGAGGAGGGTCTCCACCCGAGGACTCTGGGCGTAGCTCCCGCGCGAACGTGCAGCGGTTCCCCAGGCTCCAAGAACCTCTGCCCACTCTGGATCGAGCCCCGTTGCCACCTCACCTGTCCGGTGCCCGCTGGCCAGGCCGTCGCCTCCGCCCCCCGGGGCCCCGCCCGGGCCCACCCTCGCATCCTCTGCCCCCAGGAGGGTCTCTAGGGACCACCGCCCGGCTCAGCGTGGGCAGGGGGCCGAAGCCGCCCCGCCTCCCCAGGCCTGGCCCCGGCACTCACTTTCTGAATCCGCTTCAGCGCCATGGGTCAGGGAGGACTGCAGGGACACCGGCCGGCGGGGGTCGGCTGCGGGGCTCGGGGACTTGGGGTCTTGGCGGGCTCGCTTCGCTGGCTGCTCGCCTGGCTCAGCCCGATGGGTCTCCCACTCGCTGCTCACAGGCTTGCTCCGGGCGCTGGTGCCTGCTCAGTGTGCGCCCAAGCGCGGGTGTGCGCGAGTGTGCGGACGGGGACGCCGGCGAGACTCTTTTGTTTCCGCTTTTGCTTCTGGGAAGGAGCCTGCGCCTTCCCCGCCCGCGCCCCGCCCCGCCTGGCACACTGGGAAGTGTAGTTCCAACCCGCTCCTTTGCCGCCGGTCCCGGCAAGGTCGAGTTATTCACAGTTGACCTCAACCTAGCAGCTTGAGTTTAGAACTGCCAAGATCTCCTAGAGTTGATTTCTGCAGTTTGATTCTGATCAGGAGTTCCCAGTCTGTAAAATGGGGACAACCAGTTAGCTCATAAGGTTCCTAGAGGAATTTCTCAATTTTCACAATCACTCCTTATCTAATATGGAATAGGACTGATCTTTTTATCTTCACTCTTACAGATTTCACTTTTATTAGATGAATTGCTTCAATTTTTCACTCAAAAACTCATGCCAAATATAATTCCTTAGATAACTTTAATTCCTATTTCGAAATGTTCCACCTCTATCCAACCTTTAATCCCATAGATAGGCACCTCCTGGAATTTAGTACAACACATTCCGAGTTTCACCCGCAGCACTGACCTCTTCCTTTGGTTTATTGTACACGGTCAATAAGTCTACTCAAAATCCTCATTCCCTCAGTTCTATAACTTGTTACTAATCAAAACTTGGCTTCTATTTTCAGCACAAGCAAAAAAGGTTTTAGCTAAGGTCACAAAATTGAGCTCCTAATTCGATTCACCCCTTATCCTCTCTGATGCTTTTGAATCATTGGTTGGCAATCACCCCTTTGTTTTCTTTACTTTTCAGAAATTCTCACCACCTCTGACTCATACAGCACGTTGGTGGTTAGGGCTTCTACTTCTTTGACTTTTCCTTTTCTGTCTCTAGTTCCTCTCTAGTGTTGGGGTACTCCAGAGTTCCAAACCTTGCACTTTCACCATCAACATCTTTTGAAAAGCTCATAATGTCATGCCCTGTGGTAATTGGGATGCTGCCCAGCATCACTGGTGGAGCATGGGTTTTGTAGATTGAAAATTATCCTGAGATAGAGTCCCAGCTCTGACCCTACCCTTTGTGTGACTTTGCTAAACCACTTAAACCCTCTGAGACTGTTCCTTCATCTGTTAATGCAGATAATCTCCATGTGAGTTATTGGAAAGCAGAAGATATTAGTATGTCTTAACTATGTAATGTATTGCACTGATCTCATAGTAAGTTAATCTTTTTTAAAATTTTATCTAGCATGTTATTATGTAATTTGTTATATTCATTTGTATCATTTGCCATCATTCTAGGCTGTTTTATAGCCTCTTCATACACTTATGCATCAAGTGCATCAAGTTACCTTCCCCCAGCATGGACAATTTAGTTTCCCTACTGCTTTTAGGCTCTGGCATCCCATGTTGGGATGCTCCCTCATGTGTATATCATCCTTTGTCAATTTGGCTTTGCTATCCTACACAAGGCAACTCTTCCATGAGGACATTCCAATTGTTTTCTGACAAAAGGGAACTGATTTCCTCTTGTATGAACATTGCCCTTCCTGGCCCTGAGCCACCCTGTTATTCGGGTATGCTTTCACCCAGCTTGGGATCTGACACTCATATGGACAACCTCATCATTTAGCACAGTCTCTGATACCATACTCTAAGATGCTTCTCCATCACACTTAGGCTATGACAAATCACCCTCCCACAGTAATGCCTTCTCCTCTCCCCTTGTCTCTGACACCCTGTGCTGGACTGCCTTGTGCACATTCTCCTAACTTCAATTGAATTCCAACATCCCAATTTGAGATGCTTTCTATAAGGACTTCCACATCTCACTTAGGCCCTTATACCTTGCACTAGGTAACCCTTTCTTGCAGACACTCTCTGTATTAGTTTTCTATGCAATCATATCACATGATTTCTGTAGGTTGAAACCCAGGTATGGAAGAGATAAATTATTTATTCAGTCTCACAAATCTGTGAGTGAGACTCTAAGGGGATGCAACAGGTTAGTATCACCCTGACATGTTTGCCCACCATGTTTCCTCAGAAAGTTGGGTGGATTTGGAAATATGGTCTTTGCAGATATAATTCATTAAGGGCCTCAAGATGGAATCATCCTGGAGTTAGGGAACCATCCAAAGTTATAACTTGATTTTAGATCTATTAAACAACCAAAGGACTTAGATTATCTAAGCTATTTACTCAAATGAACCTAAGCATTTACATTTTTTTTTTCTGTTTGGAAGGTTGCACTAGGTGTAGAAACAATCTTACCTGTGTAAAAGGAAGAGTGTGGGGTAGACAAAGTCATTTAGGGCAAGGTATTTGAAAACTAGGAAACTTTTTTGAGAATGCAGAATTTTGTGCCTTGACTCAGGTCACAGGTGCAGGGTGCATGGGATCAGAGGCTTGGAGGAGTGGAATGTGACATTCTTAGGCAGTACTAGCACTGGTCAATGTCCTAAAGAACTGATATTTAAGAACTACAGGAAGAATGAGAAGAGGATGCCACCAGCATGCAAGAGATTTAGGATCTGCTAAGGAAACGTGTCACCTTAGGCCAGTATTCTCAAACTATAGTGTGCAATCCTGACTGCAAATTAGGAGCACCTAGGTATCTTAAAAAACTTAACAGAAGTCTAGGCTTCAATCCCAGGTCATGAAATAAGACTCTCTGGTAAACTCCTCTGTTTTTTAACATAAATTTTAACTCAGTGGTTCAGCAGTGTACTTAGTCAATATGTCTGTTCTCCTCCCCACTCTGTCTCCTGTGAATACTTTAAACACCCCTGCACCTCTGGTCTGTACCCCAGTTCTGTATGCATAAAAAAAAAAAAACTTTGAAAAAAAATGCACCTGAAGAAGAATCTGTGACACACACACACAAAAGTGTAGCCTTCAGACATCTCAAATAGCAGAATATCTTGAGACATTTGTTCAAAAGCCTTCAGAAATCTAACCAAGACGTACTATGTTCTCAAGATGTAATGTGTATGTAAGTTTCTATTTCTGTTGGTCTGGAGTGGAACCAAGAAGCTACAATTCTAACAAGTTCCCTGGTGATACATATGCTGTTAGATCTAGGGCCATACCTTGAGAATTGTTGCTATGGGTCTTTGCTACTCAGAATGTGGTCCATGTACTAGAAACAACAGAATCACCTGAGAACTTGTTAGACACAAAGTATCTCAAGGCAGCTGCATCAGAATTTGCAGTTTAACAAGATCCCTAAGTGATTGAGATGAACTATATTAGTTTGAGAAAGCACTACACTAGAAGCCGCCAATCTACAAGAAGCATCTTAAAGCAGATTTCTTTAAAAGTCTAATATAGTATGTCTTGGTTAGATTCTTCTTCAGGTGCATTTTTTTCAAAGTTTTTTTTTTTTTTAATGCATACAGAACTGGGGTACAGACTAGAGGTGCAGGGGTGTTTAAAGTATTCACAGGAGACAGAGTGGGGAGCAGAACAGATATATTGACTAAGTACACTGCTGAGGGGAGCAGTGAACAAGACAGGAGAGGTCTGAGGACCATATGGGCCACCTCCCTGGCCGGGGGTTGAACTCGTATCAAAGTGGCTGTAGCTAGCTTCATAATGCCACCAGGGAGGGCCCCTTCAGGTACATTTTTACTAATATGCACAGGAAGACACCAGTACCTTGCAGACAGCAACCCAAGTGTAACATGGTTCTTTGTCCTCACATGGGCAGACAGAGTTCTCTGTTCTGGAGCTTTTGTGGAAGTGTGAGTATCTCTAGGGGCCTTTGGCAGCCAGCTCATCTTTGAGAATCTGTGCTGCAATTACATCCTGAGTCTGGATTTGAGCCTTGGTCTTTGTCTGCGAAAGCCCCAGACCTTTGGCCATGTAGACATGTGCACATTTCTTAAGCTTAGGATGAGCGATGTAGCTGAGTGAGTAGACTGAACTTATAGCTGCTGCCTTAGGAATCTGAAGGGAACCTGTTAGGTTCTCTTTTTTAGGTTTCTTATTATTTATATGGAACAGAACAATCACCTTTGGGGGGGGGCTACAAATGATAGACCTTTGAGTTGGAAGGGCACCAACTATTAAAGTTCCACTCACTTAAAATAGATATAATATTATTGATTTATTATAGATGAGTAAATTGGATTGATTTCCTTAGGCTTTACAAGGGCCTTGAAAACCTCAGCATGTGCGCACATAGCTTTGGTATTATTGGACTGCATATTCTTCAGGTCCTTCCTGTGTTTCTTAGAAAATATGCATGTTCCTTAGGAATTTGGGGTTCACCCATTAAGAAATTCATATCTTTGTGACTGGGGTTACCTGATACTATTTCTGTGTTATTTTGGGGGTTGGATGCTGTGCTTCTTTGGACTTGGCCACATCTGCACCAAAGCTCATGGCTTCCCATGAAGGTTATACTGGGAGAGAATCTCCACCTTAGCCAAATCCTTAAATCTGTCTAAAGTCTAATTTACTCATCTCTAATAAATCAATAATATTATATCTATTTCAAGTGAATGAAGCTTTAATATTTGATGTCCTTCCAACTCAAAGGTCAGTTTTTGGCAATCAGTCCACAGTCTGGTTGGTTATGACTTGAGGGCTCTCATAAGACTTTATTCAAAATGTCCACCAGTGTTGCCATGACCTGATGTTTGACTTTAGAGGTGACATTTTATTCAAGATGCCTCACTTACATGAATAGTCAGACTGGTCTTTGTTTCTAAATGTCTGGACTTTTTCAAAGGGCTGCTTGAGTGTCCTCCCAACATGGTGGCTGGCCTCAAATTATTCCTTTTTACAAGAAAAGAGCAAGGTGGGAATCACAATGGCTTTTATTAAAAAAAAAAAACCAAACCTGGGAAGTCACACGCTACCAATATTACTTAACATCGAAAGGCACTACAGAAAGATATGGACACCAAGAATGGGTGATTAGGAAGCATCTTGGTGTCTGGCCACCACAAAGGAAAAGGAAGTTAATGGAAAATATATTAAAGGTAAGGCTTTGCTACAAATTAAGCCTTTGATACTTATAGCATGGCCCATAAAGCAGCAGCATTTGGGAAACTTAG